CATGGATCAGCAAAGTGAGTTATTGGAGAAGGTATGAAGTACTTCGGGGTCCCAATACATCCAAGATTCAAATATATATTGAAATATTTAGAGCTAAAACAGCTTAGTTTCAGGCAAAAATAACTCAGACCAAAGCATGACATGTTCTCTTTCGACATTTAGCAATTGTATTCCCCCAAAGCAAATATTTTGTGTGGTCAGTTTTCTTCCTCCGTTAGCAGTTCATGCTAAAACACCTTAAAAATACCTGCCTTCCCTCATGCTCAACTCATATATGATTACCCTCAGCCAGTACGTGGATATCTGATCGTTTGTGATGAAAGTAAATTTTTTTCACTTAAAGTGTTACAGTATCTTTTTTTGTCATTTAAAAGTAAAGTTTATGCAGTTTTAATACAATAAATACAGTCAATTTTATGCTTTTTCAGTCTGTACTTAATTTTAGCAAACATGTGGTCATGCAATTACCACCACAGTCAAGATGTAGAACAGGTCCATCACACCCCAAATTTTCCCATGTCCCTTCATCATCAGTCCCTCCCCACATCTCAGCCCCTGGATGCCCCTGGATCCCACTGGTCTGCTGTCCCATAATTTTACCTTTTCTGGAAACCCATGTAGATGAATCATACAATATGTACCCTTTGAGACTGTGTTCTTAACTTAGCATAATACATTTGAGATTTTTCCATGTTATTGAGTAGATTAGTACTTAATTTCTTTTTATTGCTGAGCAGTGTTTTGTTGTATAGATTTACCTCAATTTCTTTTGTCATTTTCCAGTTGAAGGACAATTGAGATGTTTTCAGGTTTTAGTACTAATAAATGAAGCTTTCATAAACATCCACATGCATATTCTTATGTGAACATAAGCCTTCATGCTTTTATTTTTCCTGTGTACTAAACATTCGATGAAATTATTGGGCCATGTAATAAGTGTATTTAACTTACTATGAAACTGGCAAACAGTTTTCCATAGTGGCTGTGACGTTTATACCAATCCTACCAGCAAAATCTGAGTTCTAGTTTTTCCACATCCTCACCGAGAATTTGTTATTGCCAGATTTGTTTTGGTTTTGGTTTAGCCTTTCTAATAGATGCATAGTAGTATCACATTGTGGTTTGAATGTGTTATTTTCCTGTGTATTAATGATGTTGAGCATCTTTTCATATGCTTAATTGGTGAAATGTCTATTCAGACCGTTTGGCCATCTTATAATTTCATTATTGGCTTTATTATTCTCTCCTAAGAGTTCTTTATTCTGGATAGAAGGGTTTATCAGATATGTGTTTTACAAATATTTTCTCCAACTTTTTGTGACTGGTGTTTTTATTTTCTTAACAGTGTCTTTCAAATAGAATTTGAAGTTTGGATGAAATTCTATCTCTCAGTTTTGTAAAGGACTATTCTTTGGTATCATCTCTAAGAAATTTTCACCTAACTCAGGGTTGCAGAGATCTTTTACCTTTGTTTGCTTCTAAAAGGTTTACGCAGTTGTAGAGATTTTACATTTACATTTATTATTGATTTTTAGATAATTTTTGTATATGGTAAGAAGTACCATATACTTTGGTTTTGGTTTGTTTTTTTGTTTTTATATGTGGATGGCCAATATTTTTAGTCCCATTTGTTTAAAAAATTATCTGTTGGTTTGCCTTTGCACCTTTATAAAAAACCAATTGATCAGGGAGGGATAAATTAGGAGTTTGGGATTAAAATATACACAGTACTATATATAAAATAGATAACCCACAAGCATGTAGTTAAGTCCTATCTCTTTTTGTAAAAAATCTTTTTATTGGTGTGCTTATACCATTTACCTGTGTGCATGTATATGTGTTCAGTCACTCAGTCATGTCTGACTCTTTGTGACCCTGTGGACTGTAGCCTGCCAGGCTCCTCTGTCCATGGGATGTCCCCAGCAAGAATACTATTTCCTCCTCTAGAGGATTTTCCCAATCCAGGGATTGAACCTGCATCTCCTGCATTGCAGGCAGATTCTTTATTGCTGCATCACTGGGGAAGGCCCATTTACTTATAATGTAATCATTAGTGTTAGAATTTAAGATTTCCAACTTATTATGTATTGTTTGCTGTTTTTCATTCCTCTTTTTTCCATTCCTGTCTTCCTTCCTCTACATTTCTTGAATGTTTTTAATGTTTCATTTTAATGTATATGTAGTAGAAAGTATTTATTGAGATGCACCATACCAGCTTACATACCAATTTAAAATGTGCAGTTGAATAGTTTTTTTTCATATTCACAGAGTTGTATTGTACAGACATCACACCGACTGATTTTAGAACAGTTTCATTGTACCCCCCTGTAACCGCTGATTCCTTTAGCTGTCCTCAGACACTTCTCTCTCTTTTCACTCCTGGTCTGTGCAAGCACTTGATGTAGAATTCTGAGCTGACAGTTCTTTCTCCTCCCCCACAACACTTGGAAAATGTGCCATTGTCTTCTGGCCTTCATAGTTTCTTATGGGAAATACACTATAATTTGAACTTAGTCTTCAGAAATTTGATTTTTGACTGACTCAGTATGGATTTCTTTGGGTTTATTTTGTTGAGCTTTGCTCAGCTATTTAAATTTGTAGGTCTGTGTCTTGCACTAGATTTGGGCCATTTCTAGTCATTATTCCTTCAAATATGTTTTTATCCTCTCTCTTTCGTCTCTTTCTGGGGCTCTGATGATATGAATGGTAGAAACTTTGTTACTGTCCCACAGAGCCCCGAGACTGTTGATTCTTTCTCTTTCTTTCTTTTCTCTCAGTTGTTCAGGCTGAATAATTTGTGTTGGTCTGTCATCAAGTCCTGTGATCCTTTCTTTTGTCATTTCCATCCTGCTGTTGTGCCTATTTAATGTGATTTTCATTTTGGTTATTTCGTTTGGTTTTTTACTTATTTTAAAGATGTTATGATTGTGATATTTTCATTGGCTTCATCGCTTTTTTACTTTTAGTTATTTCTGTTTTTGGCTGCACTGGCTCTTTGTTGCCGCATGTGGGTTTCCTCTGGCGTGGTGCACGGGCTTCTCCCTGCAGTGGCTTTTCCTGCGGCTCAGCGTAGGCTCCGCGGCTCACGGGCTCTCGTAGTTGCAGCATGCCGCCTCTAGAGTGTGGGCCTAGTAGTTGTGGTACACAGGCTTCGTTGCCCCACAACTTGTGGGATTTTCCTGGACCAGGGGTTGAACCTGTGTCCCCTGCATCGGCAGATGGATTCTTAACCATGGACCACCAGGGAAGTCCCACTGAGTTCACCTTTATGTTTTCTCTCATTACTGAGGCTTTGGATTTTTCCATTTGCTTCAGGAGCATTCATAGTTGCTTATCAGACTTTTTATGACCACTGCTTTAAAATCTTTGTCAGCTAATTCTAATATCTGTACCATCACAATTTTGGTGCCTGTTTATTATCTTACTTAATATTTTCCTGATGTTTGGTTTGTCTAGTAATTTTGGATTATATCTTGAACATTTTGTGTATTATGGTAAAGACTCTGAATCCTGTTTAAATCTCCTATTTTAGTAAACTGATAATCTGTTTAGGTTAGAATGAACATTTTATTCCAATTTTGTGGACTGTGGTTCAAAAGTCAAAATTTTTCAAAGCTCTTGCAAGTTATTTTCTGGTCTGCCCCACTTTTGTAATACCCTGGCCAATTTAGAACCTGGGCAGATTTCCACTAAGAGTTCAATTCTCAAAGATTTTTCTATTTCAACTGTGGTCAGATCCATACATGGTCTGCTAAAAGTTATCCATGGCATTATGCACTGATATAAAGAATTGCTTTCTCCTCCTTTCTTTTCTCCACTGTTTAGTTGAGAAGGGATAAGGTAACACCTCATTGCTATCCTTTGCCTGATTCAGGGCATAATGCTTCATAGGCCTTCTCCCCCACAGTCTCTCCAGCATCAGATGGAAAGGAAAAGGGGTACAGTTTGTTGTCACATGTGCTTTGAATAGAGGAAGTTAGCCAAAAGACCTCAGTGCTACAGAGCTACTGTCCTGATGTTTTGATGGAGAGAACAGGCTTCGGGGGGTTTTGTGAATGGGCCCTTTGGTGTTTCTAGTGTTCTGGCCACTTTAGCACCCAGGCTGTCTGTATATATAGGAGGCAAAAAACCCAAATCTTGAGAACTCAACTCCAGATTGTTCCTGGAGTTTCATTGTTCTCTAACCAACTTGCCTTCCTTTCGCCACCTTTCATTTACTTTTTCTGGGGTGTTTAGTTTTAATTATCAGAAGGATCATGGTATTATGCACTTGTTCCTTATTGTCTAGAACAGGAAGTCAATCATGGTTCGTTTTTGTAGTTCTCAGAAGCATGCCACAATGCCTAGTGTATGGTCTGCTGCTGCTGCTGCCAGGTCACTTCAGTCGTGTTCGACTCTGTGCGACCCCATAGACGGCAGCCCACCAGGCTCCCCCGTCCCTGGGATTCTCCAGGCAAGAATACTGGAGTGGGTTGCCATTTCCCTCTCTAATGCATGAAAGTGAAGTCGCTCAGTCGTGTCCGACTCTTAGCGACCCCATGGACTGCAGCCCACCAGGCTCCTCCGTCCATGGGATTCTCCAGGCAAGAGCACTGGAGTGGGGTGCGATGGCCCTCTCTGAGTGTATGGTCTACATTAAAAAATTTTTTTTTTGACAAAGAGTAAGGGAGGGAAAAAATAACCTCATATCTCAAAATGTTAATTTAGTATAACATAGTAGTTAAGAACATACTGCTTAAAGTCAACTATCAGTTTGAATTTTAGCTTCACCATCTCCTTTCAGTGTAAGGTGAAAAAATTACCCAACTCCTCTGAGTGTCGGTTTCCTGTAATATAGGTATGGTACCATCTCTCTCATAGGGTGAGTAAAACTGAAGTAGTATATTTAATGCATTTACCCCAGTACTTGATAAGAAACAGCTAGTAAATATAGTTCCTAGTTATATTAGTGATAACAACAATATTTATCAAACGTCACTATTTGTTTCTTATCCTCACAGGGAACTCTGCCCTTAAAGACAAAGAAGATCAGTTTGGGAGAACGCCACTTATGTACTGTGTGTTGGCCGACAGACTGGATTGTGCAGATACTCTGCTGAAAGCAGGAGCAGACGTTAATAGAACTGACCATAGCCAGAGGGCTGCCCTCCATCTTGCAGCTCAAAAGGTAAGAAGTCAAATTACTGTGAAGAGCGAACCCTTTCTGTGCTGTTTGTGAATTGATTAGTGGAACTGTGCGATGGACAGATGGTAAAGGAACCTCAGGTTTATAACTTTATTTTCATATGTTTTCTCAAAAACTGCAGTCTTTAAACTGCAGAGAGTAAGCACAGATAACCATCACTTATTCATGTTCCTCAAGCAATGAAGTTTATTTTCTTATCTAAGATTAAGCTGGGGAAAAAGAAATAAAATTACATGGATAGTATAATTGGACTATATTATACTATATTACAAGTCAGTTTATGCATTGGAAAAGGCAAAGAAAGAAAGAAAACTGCCACACGCTGAATTGTCAGGAGTGGTTGGGTTTGGGGATCTCATGGCGGTTCAGTGGCTAGGACTCTGAGCCTCCATTGCAGGGAGCAGGGTTTCATCCTTGGTCAGGAACTAGCTGCAGTCCACGGGGTCGCGAAGAGTTGGACACGACTGAGCGACTTCACTTTCACTTTTCACTTTCAAGCACTGGAGAAGGAAATGGCAGCCCACTCCAGTGTTCTTGCCTGGAGAATCCCAGGGACGGGGGAGCCTGGTGGGCTGCCGTCTTTGGGGTCGCACAGAGTCGGACACGACTGACGCGACAGCAGCAGCAGCAGCAGGAACTAAGATCCCAGAGGCCATACGCGTGAAGCACAGCCAAAAAACAGTAGTCAGCAGTGGTTGGATTGAAGCAATGGGAATATATGTGAACTTTAGTGCTTCTCATTGTTCAAAATGTTCTCCTTACTGAGTGTTCCTTCCACAGCAAAAAGCTGTAGTCTTGTAAAACATGTGGCATTAGAAGCGTAAGTTTATTTTCTGAAATGTATTTTTAAATTTTTTAAAATCTAAAACTATATTGCTAGTGTAAATTATTTCAAATTTTTAAAGGCTTGTTCAAAAGAGCTCAGTTTTTTTAGGATTAAGCATATCAAAATTTTTTTTTAATGGGAAGCTTCTAAACTTATTTGAAGATTTTATTTACCTGAAAACAGTTTTTCTCACCATGAAATTTTGGTCTATAAAATGTATTTCTGGTGCCTGGTATTTTTCTCTTTGTTATTTTAGATATGTATTTTTGGGACAAAAAGCAATGAAAATTAGTTAGATCCAGCAGAAACTATTAGTTATTTCCCATTAAGAAATGTGAACCAGATATAGCTGCTTAATTGAGGGGTTAGAAAAATACCTTTTCATTAGTTGAAAGCATAAAAAAAGATTGACATTAAGATGTACTTCTGAATATGCTAGTTATATGCTCTTATCAATTGGGTCTGTCAGGTTATTTTCAAAGTTATTGCTCTTGAATTTGCTTTTCATTACAGTAATTTAAAAGAATTCTCCCTCATTTTCAATCTCTCTTTTAACTACTGCTGAGGTGTCTATAACCTTTCACCTAAGCTTGTCAGCTGTTAAAAGTATTCAGTCAGGAAGGGTAACTCTATTTAACTTGTTATCATAAAAAAGTAAACATTTCAGATTGGGAATAGCCCCAGTATTAAGAATTTAATACACTTTAGATTTTTTTTCATTGTGATTCATTTAGGTTTAAAACTCAACTTCAAAAATGTAGGTTAGCGGAAAGTAATTGCACATCAAATGGATTATGTGAGAAAAAAAGAGAGTTTAAGTTGATGATCTAATCACATGATATTTTTGAAGAGGCATAATGTGAAAAAAGTTGAAAGGGGAGTGCACAACCAGATGTGTGAATTGTGAAGTCTCTCCATGAGATGCAGTACATTGTTTCCATTTGCGTTTTGTTTCTCCTTTAGTTTTTTAAGTAGTGATTTCTTTAGTGTCAAAGAAAAAATAGAACTATGATTTACATGTCACAGTTCACATAACTGATTTTATAAATAACAACTTCACGGTCTCGCAGCTTTCTGATAATTATGCATTTCCTCTGTCTCTGTGTTGCTGTGTGTTTTTGTGTGTTTGCCAAAAGCCATAAGACATCTCTAAGTCATACTAGTATTAGTCGAATACTAGTTAAAGTATACTAGTATTAGTAGAATTTCCAGAACAAGGGTGATCATCATTCTTTAACACTCTACTCTGCCCACATCAAAGCTGGGCACTGTGTTCAGTTTTGTGTGTCATGCAAAAGCACCATTATTTAGAATCAGAGATAGTATAGTTCAAGCAGGAATAAATGGTGGAGGATCTAGAAATAATTTTCAGAAATGGTTGGAGATGTCCCAGGTCTGTAGCCCACCCTGCCTTTCAGCAGACACACAGACACAAATTCTCTTTAGAGAAAATAGCTTCGCCTTAAACTTCTCATATAGATTCAGTTCAGTTCAGTCGCTCAGTCGTGTCCGACTCTCTGCGATGCTACAGACTGCAGCACGCCAGGCCTCCCTGTCCATCACCAACTCCCGGAGTTCACTCAAACTCATGTCCATGGAGTCGGTGATGCCATCCAACCATCTCACCCTCTGTCGTCCCCTTCTCCTCCTGCCCATATATATTAAAACAGACCAAATATGATCTCACAGTGAAAAATCACCAAACACATAAGGAAGCAATGTACCGTCTAGGAGAGTCAGCGGAAACAATAAACAAATTTCTATCAAAAACATTAAAAACACAATATAAAGTAACCATTGATGGACTATTTAAAGATACATAAAAAAGAAATATTTAAGATATAAAAAAAGAAATCATAGTAAAGAGCTACCAACCAGAGACTTTCGTGACTAAGCGTCAGTTCTCACTATGAACCCCTATTTTTGAACAGCTCGTCTGCCAAAAACATCTGAAAACTTAACAAATACATTGTTTGAAGACATCGGAAACAGTCAGCACAGGCAGGATCATTCAGAGGGCAGCTTGTGAAATTAGCTCCACATTCATCCTGGCTTTTCCCTTTAAGGCATTTTCCAAATTGGAATGTAAAAGAATGCAACCCTAGCAGGAAGCAGGATTCTTAGAAAACTGGAAGAACCCAGGTGGAGTTTGGTGTTAGCAGTAGCTGGAACTTGAAAAGCAAACCCTGAAAACCTGAGTACAGATTCCTTGCAAGTCATTAGCAGCTACTTTGGAAGAGGATAAGAATGGAGGTACATAAAAGCTATTAAAGTTCAGGCCAAGAGAGAGGAAGAGTTGGATCCAAGAGATCTATTGTGGAAGTAGAAGTGTTCATTCAGAGAGTAGTTGCCAAGTATCTGCTCTGTATTGTTTATACACCTAGTTGTTGTTCAGTCGCTCAGTCATGTCCGACTCTTTCGACCTCATAGACTGCAGCCCTCCATGCTTCCCTGTCCTTCACCAGCTCCCGGACGTTGCTCAAACTCACGTCCATTGCGTCAGTGATGCCATCCAACCATCTTATCCTCTGTCATCCCTTTCTCCTCCTGCCTTCAATCTTTCCCAGCTTGAGGGTCTTTTCTAACGAATCAGCTCTTTGCATCAGATGGCCAAAGTATTGCAGCTTCAGCTTCAACATCAGTCCTTCCAATGAATATTCAGGACTGATTTCCTTTAGGATTGGCTGGTTTGATCTTGCAGTTCAAGGGACTCTCAAGAGTCTTCTCCAAAATCACAGTTCAAAATCATCAATTCTTCGATGCTCAGCCTTCTTTATGATCCAACTCTCACATCCAAACACGACTACTGGAAAAACCATACTTTTGACTATACAGACCTTTGTGGGCAAAGCAATGTCTCTGCTTTTTAATATGCTGTGTGGGTTGGTCATAGCTTTTATTCCAAGGAGCAAGTGTCTTTTTATTTCATGGCTGCAGTCACCATCTGCAGTGATTTTGGAGCCCAAGAAAAGAAAGTCGGTCATCGTTTCTATTATTTCCCCACCTATTTGCCATGAAGTCATGGGACCAGTTGCCATGATCTTAGTTTTTTGAATGTTGATTTTTAAGCCAGTTTTTTTCACTCTCCTCTTTCACCTTCATCAAGAGACTCTTTAGTTCCTCTTTGCTTTGTGACATTAGGGTGGTGTCATCTGCATATCTGATGTTATTGATATTTCTCCTGGCAATCTTGATTCCAGCTTGTGCTTCATCCAGCTTGGCATTTATCATGATGTACCCTGCATAGAAGTTAAATAAGCAGGGTGACAATATACTGCCTTGACCTACTCCTTTCCCAATTTGGAACCAGTCCCTTGTTCCATGTCTGGTTCTAACTGTTGCTTCTCGACCTGCATATAGATTTCTCAGGAGGCAGGTAGGGTGGTTTTAAGAATCTTTTTTAAGAACATCTTTTTAAGAATGTTCCACAGTTTGTTGTGATCCACAGAGTCAAAGGCTTTAGCATAGTCAATGAAGCAGAAGTAGATATTTTTCTGGAATTCTCTTACTTTTTGTATGATCCAGCGAGTGTTGACAATTTGATCTCTGGTTCCTTTGCCTTTTCTAAGTCTGTCTTGAACATCTGGAAGTTCTCAGTTCACATACTGTTTGAAGCCTACTTTGGAGAATTCTGAGCACTACTGTGCTAGCATGTGAAATGATGGCAATTGTATGGTAGTTTAAACATTCTTTGGTGTTGCCTTTCTTTGGAATTGGAATGAAAACTGACCTTTTCCAGTCCTGTGACCACTGCTGAGTTTTCCAAGTTTGCTGGCATATTAAGTATAGCGCTTTAACAGCATCATCTAGAGAAAACATTAAAAAATGAATAATATGTCTGCTATGAATAAGTGCTGTCAATACTGAGCCCTATTAAACTTCACATCCCTTTGTTTAGTGAAGTTCTCTGATATTTTGGATACCAAATATTCTTTTCAAGTATTGTCTGTCTTATTTCTGTTATCTGTGAACTCAAAAGTGCTACTTATGTAACATTGATATTCATATATATGTGCATGCATGCATACATTCAACATATGTTAAAAACTTAGTGTAACAGGCACTGTGCTAGGCCTTGGAATGCCAAGATGAAAGACGTGATTCCTGCTCTTAAATTGCTCACAAACACCATGGATAAAGATATTAAATAACGATA